ATCTCTTTCCAGAGGGAGAGGGTCTGGTAGTAGCCTGGCACCTCACCCACCAGGGGCTTCGCCTATGCCCCTGCACCAAATGCACATGGGACTCTGTTCAGCCTGCCTTTGGAGAAGGCCTCCAGTTGGTGGAAGGAGGAGGAAAAAAGGAGGGAAGTAGAACTTACCCTCTTTCTGGCCTCAAGGGGCCTCAAGCACTCCCACTGCTGCTACAATTCCCTGTCACAAGGTGACACCCAGCTCACATCTTGGGCCTGCTATGTGACACTGGGGCAGCCCCTTAGCCTCTCTGAGCCTCAATCGTCTTCTCTGCAAAATGGAGTTTTGTGATTGGACCCACCTCAGAGGTTTATGCCCGGGTTCTGAGCATGCGCCCTGGAGTAGGGTTAGTGCTCAGTAAATGGTGATTAATACAATTAGCCTTAGAGGATTTCATAGCAGCAGCTTCCCCTCCTTCCTCAGACCCGACAGGAGCAGTGTCTGTTCCTCTGTTTCATTCCGACCCCAGGGAACCCACACAAGAGGGACTTAGCATTTTGCTCGCCAACTTTTCCCTTTCCTTGGACAGCTGTCACCTATTCTGGAGGCTAAGCAGGCAGACCCTTTTATCAGGCTGATGTGGGGTCCTGAACTAACCTTACTCTCCCCCCCAGAGGCTCTCCCAGCCCCCACTCACCTCTTGGCAGGCACTGAATCTCTGTGTCAGCCTGAGCAGCACTGTCCAATAGAACCCTCCGTAACTCTGGAAGCATTCTACATCTCTGTGTCCAGCACAGCAGCCACGAGCCACATGTAGCTACTGAACACTTGAAAAATGGTTAGTGGGACTGAGAAACTAATTTTTTTCTTTTTTAAAAAAGATTTTGTTTATTTGAGAGAGAGAGAGCACAAGCATGGGGAGCAGCAGGCAGAGGGAGAAGCAGGCTCCCCACTGAGCAGGGAGCCCCACATAGGGCTTGATCCCCAGACCCTGAGATGATGACCCAAGATGAAGTCAGACACTTAACCAACTGAGCCACTCAGGCACCCGAAGAAACTAATTTTTTAAAAATGTTTTATTTATTCATGAGAGACACAGAAAGAGGCAGAGGCATAGGCAGAGGGAAAAACCAGACTCCCCTTGGGGAGCCTGACTCAGTACTCGATCCTAGGACCCCAGGATCATGACCTGAGCCAAAGGCAGACACTCAACCACTGAACCACCCAGGTGCCCCAAGAAACTAATTTTTTTAAAGATGCATTTATTTATTTGAGAGAGACAGAAGCTATGAGCAGTGAGAGATGGAGAGAAACAGACTTCCTGCTGAGCACAGAGCCCAACCCTGAGATCATGACCTGAACCAAAATCAAGAACACAAGACTTAACCAACTGAGCTATCCAGGTGCTCCCAGAGAAACTAATTTTTAATATTATTTAATTGTAATGGATTTAAGTAGCCACATGTGGCTAATGGCTACCATTTTGGACATATGTAGAAACCTCAGACACGTATGAAGAGTTGGATGACTTGAAATGATCCCAAGGTGAATGGAGACAGGGTCAGGCCCAAGTAAATAAACCACTTGCACTTTCTGGGCCTCAGTTTCCCCACCTACTCACTAAATGCTGTTTCAGTGTTATCTCATTTGTTGAAGGAGTTTTCCTGGGACTCTGGTTTGGGACAAAACAGGGGAGCTCTTTCAGATGGATTTCTTCTTTTTTGGCCCTGGTGCATGCTCAAGAGCAAAGTAGAGAGGAGCTGGAATCCTGGAGTGCTTCAGCAGAGTCCACAGGGTTAGGATTAAGCCAATGGACTCTGTACTGTTTCAGACACAGCATGATCATGTCAGAGTGCAGAAATGGTTCAGTGGGAAGAGGCAGGTATGGGTTCACATACAGGTGCAGCCACTTCCAGCTCCACATCAGGCTGAGCCTCAGTGTCCTCATCCGGAAAGTGGCCAGGAAGCATCCCAAGACAAAAGATGTTTTTTTTTTTAAAAGATTTATTTATTTATTCATTCAGAGAGAGTGAGAGAGAGGCAGAGACACAGGCAGAGGGAGAAGCAGGCTCCATGCAGGGAGCCAGATGTGGGACTCGATCCTGTGCCTCCAGGATCACACCCCGGGCTGTAGGCGGCGCTAAACTGCTGCGCCACCGGGGCTGCCCCCAAGACAAAAGATGATTAAACATAACATGGCCTTGTGATGAAAATAGCACTCTACCTCTGTGATCCTCCCCCCTCAAACCTATAACCAACCCCTACTGTAATCATGAGAAAAACATCAGAGAAATTCTAACAGAGAGACATCCTGTGATACACTTGACTGCTTTCCTCACAATTGTCAGGGTCATCAACAATAAGTGAGTCTGAGAAACTATCACAGCCAAGAGGGGCCTATGGAGACATGACAATTTAATATAAGGTGTTATCTTGGATGGAATCCTGGAACAAAAAAAGGACATTTGGTGAGAACTAGGAGAATCTGAATAAACTATGGGCTTGAGTTTATTACTATTATTTCCTTTCTTTTTTTAAGATTTATTTATTTATTTATGATAGACACACAGAGAGAGAGAGAGAGGCAGAGACACAGGCTCGATGCCGGGACCCCAATGTGGGACTCGATCCCAGGACTCCAGGATCGTGCCCTGGGCCAAAAGCAGGCACTAAACCGCTGAGCCACCCAGGGATCCCTATTAGTTCCGATAGTAGTCCTATATCAATGTTGGTTCACTAATTATAACAAAAGTACCATTTATTAATGTTAGATATGTTAGTAATTTAAGATATTAATAAAAGGTGAAACTGGGATGCCTGGATTGAGCATCTGCCTTCAGCTCAGGGCAGGATCCTGGGGTCAGGGATCATGTCCCACATCAGGCGCCTTGCAGGGAGCCTGCTTCTCCCTTTTCCTGTGTCTCTGCCTCTCTCTCTGTGTCTCGCATGAATAAATAAATAAAACCTTAAAAAAAATAACAGGTGGAAACTATGGGACAGGGTGTGGTGGCGGAGGAGGGTAAGTGGGAACTCTCTGCTCTGGAAAGATAAGTGAATGAGTAGATAAATACATAAAATAAAAATAAGAGGGCCTCGGGGTGCCTGGGTGGCTCAGTGGCTGAGTATCTGCCTTTGGCTCAGGGCATGACCCTGGGGTCCTGGGATCAAGTCCCACATCAGGCTCCCCGCAAGGGAGCCTGCTTCTCCCTCTGCCTCTATCTCTTTCTGTGTCTCTCATGAATAAATAAATTAATTTAAAAAAAGATAGGCACCAATTACAAAATAGAACATATTATGTGAAACATCCAGAATAAGTAAATCTATAGAGACAGAAAGCAGATTAGTGGTTGCCAGGGGCTGGGGGAAAATGACTGCTAATGTGTAGGGGGTTGCCTTTGCAGGCGTTAGGGGATGAAAATGTTCTGGAACTGGAGATGGTGGCACAACAGTGAATGTAATAAATGCCATTGTATTGTTCACTTTACTTTTTAAAACAGTTTTGGGTTTTTTGTTTTTTGGTTGTTGTTGCTTTTTTTTTTTTTTTTTTTTTTAGCAATCTCTAAACCCAACATGGGGCTTGAACTCACAACCCTGAGATCAAGAGTCATATGCTTTTTCAACTGAGCCAACTGGTGCCCCTGAATTGTTCACTTTAAAAATAAAATGGGGGGATCCCTGGGTGGCGCAGCGGTTTGGCGCCTGCCTTTGGCCCAGGGCGCGACCCTGGAGACCCGGGATCGAATCCCACATCGGGCTCCCGGTGCATGGAGCCTGCTTCTCCCTCTGCCTGTGTCTCTGCCTCTCTCTCTCTCTCTCTCTCTGTGACTATCATAAATAAATAAAAAAAAAATAAAATAAAATAAAATAAATTTAAATCTTCTAAAAAAAAAAATAAAATAAAAATAAAAATAAAATGGGGGGTACCTGGGTGGCTCAGTGGTTGAGCATCTGCCTTTGGCTCAGGTTGTGATCCTGGGGTTCTGGGGTCCTGTCCCTCACTGGGCTTCCTGCAGGGAGCCTCCTTCTCCCTCTGCCTATGTCTCTGCCTCTTTCTGTGTCTCTCATGAATAAATAAATAAAACCTTAAAAAAATAAAAATAAAAATAAAACGGTTAGTTTTATGCTATGTGAATTTCCCCTAAAAAATGTTATACAAACATTTGAGGGCATCTGGGTGGCTCAGTCAGTTGAGCGTCTGCCTTCAGATGAGATCATGATCCTGGAGTTCCAGGATCAGGCCTGTTGTCAGGCTCCCTGCTCACCCCCCCACACTTTGCCCCCCCACCCCATCTGTTTCTTCCTCTCCCGCTGCCCCTCCCCCACCCCCTGTTCATGTTCCTTCTCTTGCTTGCTCGCTCACTCTCTCTAAAATAAATAAAATCATTTTTTTAAAAAAGCATTTGATATGATCTTTTTTCTTTCTTCTAGAATCACATCCAAGCCTTTGAAACTTCAAAGCCAGGGATTTCCTTGCAAACCTACACTTGGGGATGGGGGATATTAATGTAGTGGGGAAAAATAAAACATGTGCCTTAGAATCAGACATGCCTATCTTTGGGCCCCTGCTCTGCCATTTGCTGGCTCTATGACCTCAGGAAAGTTACTTCACCTCTCTGAACCTGTTTACTCATCTGCCAAATGCATGATTGGTAGGGACTATTCACTGAGACCCACAGCTGAGACCTAGGCCCAAGAGAAGACATGCAGGCAATGATAGAATTAGGTTGAGTGCAAAGGGATGGGGTGAGGGTTAAGGTTCCAAGCCATGCAAACCCCAAAAACAATCCCTTCCATTAAAAGGTGCCAATGGAAATACATACACCACTTCCAATGATCTCTTGCTGACAGGGCTTGCTTGTTCGTAAAAGTTATTTCTGCGACAGACAGATTCAAGGCCAACTGAGAACAGGTTCCGAGCAAAGCAAACACTACAGCCTTATCTTGGGGACATAGCATGGGTATAAAGAGGGAGGCCATGAGTGATTTTAGTCCTTTCTCTTGCTCAGCAACTTGACCACAAAATGAAATTCCTCGTACTGGCTGCTCTGCTCACAGGTAGGCGAGTCTCCCCCAGTCCCACCCCTTTGGTGCTAAGATCTCACTCCACAAGAATGGGGGCCGTGGGTCACAGGGTTGGCTGGACCTGAAGCCTTTACTCTGAGCTCTTTATTGGGCTTAACAGCTCCCATCCTGGGGTTCCTTCAAATCCCCCCCATAGCTGGCACCTTTACAACCTTTAGGGGTCAGATGACCCCTCTCAGAAGGGCCTACCTGCCCACCTGAGAAAAGAGAGACCTCTCTCCTTTCTCTCTACCATATGGCCTTGGCATGGTGTCTTCCATTACCCACCTTTGCCTGCAATTTGTATCTTGTTTCTTGTATCAACAAGATTTCCTTTTTTAAAAGCTTTAATTAATTTTTACATAAACTCTACTCCCAAAGTGGGGCTTGAACTCAAGACCCTGAGATCAAGAGCTGTATGCTCTACCAACTGAGCTAGTTCCTTTTTCTTTTCTTTCTTTTTTTTTTAAAAAAGATTTTATTTATTTATAGACAGAGAGAGAGACACAGGCAGAGGGAGAGGGAGAAGCAGGCTCCATGCAGGGAGCCCGATGCGGGACTCCATCCCAGGCCTCCAGGATCACACCCCAGGCTGCAGGCGGCGCCAAACTGCTGTGCCACCGGGGCTGCCCTAGTTGCTTTTTCTTCTCCACGTACACCGAAGCGTGGGCTCCATGAGAGCAGTGATAGAGCTATTTGTACCATTTATTGACTGAATGAATGAAATAAGATGCATTAGAATTCAGATCCCACCTCATTCATTCATCATTCTTTCATTTATTCAACATTAATGCATCAGAGGCTCCAAGATCCAGCTCTGGGTTGAGACTAAGGACTCACAGATGAACGAGTCATGCTCCCTAAGGAATACACACACGTGCGTGCACACACACATGAGAAGCAGCTTTGTGCAGGTCTAGCCTGTGCAAAGAGCAGAGCTGGCTGGATCAGAGACAGAGAAAACCAGGGAACCAGGAGGGAGGTCTAGAGATGGACCAATGTAGCCAGGCTACTCCTGTCTGCTGCTAGTGTGGAGGCTGCTCACAGGGGACAGTGTCCAGCTGCCACCCTTTCTTTGCCCTGGGGTTTAATTATTTTTAAGATTTATTTATTTATTTGAGGAGGGTGAGGGGGAATAGGGGAGAGAAACCTAAGCAGACCCCACGCTTAGCATGAGCCCGGCACAGAACCTGATCCCACAATCCCAAGATCATGACCTGAGCCAAAACCAAGAGTTGGATGCTTAACCCACTGAGCCACCCAGGCACCCCTGCCCTGGGGTTTAAATATATGCAGCAGCTCCAGTGTGTACAGCAGATCAAGGGAAGAAGAAGCAAGGTGTGGGGCAAACAGATGATACTGGTGGCTGATTGAATGGGGCCCCCAAAATCATATAGTGCCTCTTCTCTTTAGGGCACCAAATCTCACAGGGTACGGCTCTGAAAATGAGGTGAAGGGGTCCTGCTTCCTGAGTCTGCTGTGTGAAACACTGCTTGGTTTGGGCAAGTGTTCAGCTACAAGCAGACTTTTTAAAAACTTATTTGTGGGTAGCCCCGGTGGCGCAGCGGTTTAGCGCCACCTGTGCCCAGGGCGTGATCCTGGAGACCCTGGATGAGTCCCACATCAGGCTCTCTGCATGGAGCCTGCTTCTCCCTCTGCCTGTGTCTCTGCCTCTCTCTCTCTCTCTCTCTCTCTCTCTCTCTCTCTCTCTCTCTGTCTCTATGAATAAATAAATAAAATCTTAAGAAAAAGAAAACTATAAACCCTTTATTTAAAAAAATAAATGAATAAAAAATAAAATAAAAACTTATTTGTTAGATATTTATTGAGCACCTACTATGTGCCAGGTACTTTCTTTAATTGGTATGTTGATTATTTCATTTATATAACTCCTCATACACTTACTGAGTGCCTACCATGTGTCAGGCCCCGGGGGAATAAAAGCCCTGAGGCCTGTCCTTGAGTTTATGGTCCAGTGAGAGGGAGGCATTAAATAAATAGACGGATACATACTCCTAGAGGTATGAGGAAGCAAAAAACATAAAGAAAGGTGATAGTAGAGAAGCCACATAGCTTGGGTGGTCAAGAAAAAGGAAGTGGCTTTTTTAAAAGATTGATTGATTGATTGATTGATTGATTGATGTGCAGAAAGAGAGGGAGAGATAATTCCAAACAGGCTGGTCTGTTTTTACCGAGTGTGGGGCCCCATGCAGGGCTTGATCCCATGACCCTGAAATCACAACCTGAACCAAAACCAAGAGTCAAATGCTTAATTGACTGCACCATCCAGGTGCCCTGAGGAGATGGGATCCTCCAGCTTTTTGAAGAGTGAGATGACAAGTGTGCCAGGCAGAGGAAACAACAGGTACATAGGCTTTGAAGCAGAAGAGAGCTTGTCCTGTTGAGGATGGCAGGACACACAGGCCTCCTCACCACTCTTTATACTCCTGCCCTATCTCAACCTCACCATTCCCCTCGCTTCTCGCCTAACTCATTTTTTTTTTTAAGATTTAATGTATTTATTTGAGAGAGAGAATGAGCAAAAGAGTGAGCAAGAGAGAGCACTAGTGGGGGAGGAGCAGAGGGAGAGAAAGAAGCAGGCTCCTGGCTGAGCCGGAAGCCCCACACAAGGCTCAATCTGGGGGATCACGACCTGAGCCAAAGGCAGACAGTTAACTGACTGAGCCACCCAGCACCACCACCACCACCCCCACTTAACCCATTTTATTTTTTTTTAAAGATTTTATTTATTTATTCATGGGAGACACAGAGAGAGGCAGAGACATAGGCAGAGGGAGAAGCAGGCTCCATGCAGGGAGCCCGATGTGGGACTTGATCCCGGGACTCCAGGGGATCAGTCCTGGGCTGAAGGCAGGTACTCAACCGCTGAGCCACCCAGGCATCCCACTTAACCCATTTTAGATTCCCCTTACCATGTTCCAATTTTTCCATCTCCTAAAACAATATCTGATTTCCCTATTCATTTCATTTATTGCTTGCTGTTTTTCTCCCCTAGTAAGACGTACGCTCAATGAGGTTATAGATTTTCTCTTTGCTTGCTGATGTATCTCTGGTTCCTAGGATAGTGACTGGCCCATAATAGGTGCTTAGTAAATACTTGTTGGATAAATAATGGGGACCCCTGGGGTGCCTGGGTGGCTCAGTCAAACATCTGCTTTCTGCTCATGACCCCAGGGTCCTGGGATCAAGCCCTGCGTCAGGCTCTCTGCTCAGTAGGGAGTCTCTTTCTCCCTCTGCCCCTCACCTTGCTTGTGCTCTCTCTTGCTCTCTTTCAAATAAAATATTTTTTTAAAAATGGGGAACCCATTGAAAACATATGTTCACACAAAAACTAGTATGCAACTATTAATAGGGCATACTATTAATATTATTAATATTATATACTAATATTAATTACATTATATTATATATTGATAACATACTATTCACAAGAGTCAAATTTATAAACCCAAACATCCATCATGTGATAAACAGATAAACAAAATGTGGTCTATCCATAGAGTGGAATACTATTCAGTTATGAAATGAATGAAGTACTGTTATATGGCATAATGTGGATGAACCTCAAAAACATTATGGGGCACTTGGGCGGCTCAGTGTTTGAGCATCTGCCTTTGGCTCAGGGCATGATTCTGGGGTCTTGGGGTTGAGTCCTGCATTGGGCTCCCAGCAGGGAGCCTGCTTCTTCCTCTGCCTGTATCTCTGCCTCTCTCTGTGTGTTTCTCATGAATAAATAAATAAAATCTTTTTAAAAACCCAAAACATTATGCTAAGTGAAAGAATCCAATCACAAAAGGCCACATACTGTATGATTCCATTTACATGAAGTGTTCAGAATAAGCAAATCTATAGAGAGAAAGCAGTTTGGTGATTGCCAGAAGAGAAAGGGGGAACAATTTCTAGTGGGTAGAGGGAGTTCTTTTAGGGATGATGAAAATGTTCTGGAATTAGTGGTGATGGTTCCACAACTCTGTGAATATCTGCTGAAATCTGCTGAAATGTAGATTTTAAGTGGTTAAATGGTGAATTTTACAGTTATGTGAATTTTTTCTCAATAAAAAGTTATTTTTTTAAAAAAGTGTTACAGAAAGGATCCTTACCCAGTTACCAGGTTCCTGCATCCAGCTGTCTTCCCAGAGGCCGCGTTGGGCCAGAGAGCAGCGGGCAGTCAGCGCGGCCCCTGGGCACTGGCAGAGCTGATCAGGACCGATGTAAACTCTGGCCCCGTCTTCTTGCAGTGGCCGCTGCCGAGGGGGGCATCAGCCCGCGGGCAGTTTGGCAGTTCCGCAACATGATCAAGTGCACGATCCCCGGGAGTGACCCCTTGATGGAGTACAACGACTACGGCTGCTACTGTGGCCTGGGTGGATCCGGCACCCCCGTGGATGAGTTGGACAAGTGAGTGATGGATCTGCAGGGAAAGCAGGGTGCTCTGGGGGGGGGGGGGACACAAGCCAACGACCTCACGAGGAGACACAGAAGGGGGATTTGCATATTTGATAAAGATAACACAGATTCACCTCTTATCATAAAAACAAACAGGCTCCAAGAGGCCCCTGAATCCAATGCTCTCTTAGGAGGAAAAGCGAGAGGCGGAGAGGTCTAGTAGTCGCGGCGGCGGCTGCCCTCTAGTGGCAGAATGTCGCAACACAAGACACCACCACAATGATTCAATTGTCCTCTCCCCGTGCTGGGGACTCCCGCTGCATCTTCAGAATATATTGTACTCTATGCCTGCAACCATTGTCACATCGCCTTCAATAAACATGATCAGGGACGCCTGGGTGGCTCAGTGGTTGGGCATCTGCCTTTGGCTCAGGGTGTGATCCTGGAGTCCCAGGATCGAGTCCCACATTAGGCTCTCCTCAGGGAGCCTGCTTCTCCCTCCGCCTGTGTCTCTGCCTCTCTGTGTCTCTTATGAATGAATCTTTGAAAATCTTTTTTAAAAATACAAAATATAAATAAATAAACCTGATCAAAGGATTTAAGTTTTTTTTGAGCCACAGGACCGATAACTTCTGGAGCATGTCCACTAAATCATCCCTCCCTACCTATTCCTGAGGCTGAGCTGCTTCCCTACCCCTTCCTCAGCCCTGTCCTTCTCCCTCTCCAGGTGTTGCCAGACGCACGACCACTGCTACTCAGAAGCCAAGAAACTGGACAGCTGTAAATTCCTCCTGGACAACCCCTACACCAAAATCTACTCATACTCATGCTCCGGCTCTGAGATCACCTGCAGCAGTAGGTTTAGCCCCTTGTTGGCTTGTCAGCCCTCAGTAGACATGGGAGGAAAGAATAATAATGACATCCACCACTGATCAATCACATCCTTGGTGCTAGGCTGTGTCTCCTTGAATCTTGGCAACAGCCCTAGGTGATCGGAATTATTATTATACCCATTTTACAGATGACAAAACAGCCTCAGAAGGTTGAGCCAATTGCCATGGGGCACACAGCTCGTAAATGGTGGTGTTTGGTTTTGGACACAGATCTATATGACTCCAAAGTCTCTGCTCTTAACTGCCATGCTATACAGCTTCGTTATTTCATAAAAAGAGCTTAGAACTACCATTTATGAGTTTATTACATATCAGATACTAGGCCAAGCAATATATGAGATAGGTTTTATTATCCCCATTTTACAGGTGAAGAAGCAGAGACTCAAAATAGTTACCTGCCCCAAATCACATAGCTTCTAAGTGGTAGGGCTGACATTTGAACTCAGCTGTTTCTGATTTCAAAGGTTCTGGTCTTAACCATTAAGTTATGCAGAACTCATGGTGAAGCATGTCCTTCTAATTGTCTGAAAAGCAGACAATTTAGAGAGGTGAAGGGTACTTTCTGGATTTGCACTGCTCTTTACTATGCACCCATATATGGGACCCACTTTTCAAAACTGTACATAGGGTGTTGAAATAACCACAATCCAAATCCAGAAGGCTGAGAAAAAAATTATCAGGAATCCCATCGCCCTGAGGAATAAGCGATTTCATAGGTCTGTGTTCATTTGTGCTTATCCTTGGAATAAGCTGTATATCATCATAATCATAGCTAGGCATGTATGTGCCCACCTCAAATCCTTTGTTCCTTCTGCATGAAACACTTGCCACCTGAAGTCTTGGTCCAGGACTTTGCATGTCTCTTTCTCTATACTGTCTTCCCTTCTGAATATTTCTTTTAAATCACATACACACTCCCTCCATCTCTCCAGCATCCTTTATGTTCCTTGTCTGCATTGTTTTTTCCATGGAATTTCTCAGCAGCTAATAGGTTTATGTTATTTCTTTTTCTATCTCTCCACTAGAAAGCAGGATCCATAGGAACAGAGATTCTTTTCTGTTTTCTTCACTACTCTATGCCCAGAATCTAGAGCAGCGGCTGGTATATTGTAGGTGCTCAGAAAACATCTGTTGAATCCACAGTCTAGATGCAATCTTGTGTTCTGCTTTTTCTCACTTATCACCATGTTCTATTTTTCCATGTTGCCTCATAGTCTTTCTTGTTACTCCTTTAATCTCTGCAAGGCATGGTTTAATTTGCTTTCATAGTCTCCTGGTCCCAGCTATTTTGGTTGTGCTCCAATTTAGAAAGACAAATATAATGGGAAATCATATTTTTGCACTACCACATGATCAGCAGGGTTCCTTTCTATGGATTCTAGATTCCTTTACAAATCTGATAAAAGCTATGGACCCTCTCCCCAGAAAACACACACACACACACACACACACACACACACACACACACACACACATACATTTTGCAAATAACATTAATGCAGCTGCCACCCAAAGGCAAGTTAAGAAGCCTACATTAAAGGGTGCCTGGGTCGCTCAGTTGGTTAAGTGCCTTCGGCTCAGGTCATGATCCCAGCGTCCTGGGATTGAGCTCCGTGTAGGGCTCCTGCTTAGTGGGGAGTCTGCCCCTCCCCTCTGCTCGGTCTCTCTCCCTCAAATAAATAAATAAAATCTTAAAAGAAGCCTGCATCAAAGGGCATTTATATTAACAACTCGATATATAAATATCTCATTATGCACACTTTATAATCTAATTAAGTGCTAATTATGCTTCACTGGACTGGGCCAGAAAAGCATTTGTGATTGTTGCTTTTTCAAAGATTCTATTTTTTATTTTTTTTAAAGATTTTATTTTTAAGTAATTTCTATACCAAATGTGGGGCTCAAACTCACAACCCAAGATCAAGAGTTGCATGCTCCCACAATTGAGCCAGCCAAGCATCCCACATTTGTTATTTTTGAAAGGATCAGAGAGAAACAAAACTTAAATAAAATTATTGAGTGTAAGCAGAGGTACATAATGAAATTATGGTTAACAAAGTTGAAATGTATCTTAAAATTTATTGTTATTGTGTCTTTTGGTTAAAAAAGTAAACAGGGCCAAAGTAATGTAATTTTATTTTTTTATATAAATTTTTTTATTTATTTATGATAGTCACAGAGAGAGAGAGAGAGGCAGAGACACAGGCAGAGGGAGAAGCAGGCTCCATGCACCGGGAGCCCGACGTGGGACTCGATCCCGGGTCTCCAGGATCGCGCCCTGGGCCAAAGGCAGGCACCAAACCGCTGCGCCACCCAGGGATCCCAGTAATGTAATTTTAAACTCTTCAGAAATGTATCATAGGAAGTGGAAGGTGCCTATAATACTACCTCCCCAAATAACCAGTTGGATATATTGCTCATTTTCCTTTAATAAAATATCTTGGAAACATTTCCACACATAAACATACTTAATTATTTTAAATATCTATATAATACTCTACTGTAAGAACAATCTGTAATTTTTAGAACATGTGCTTTAAAGTTGAGAAATTGCCTGGGCTCCTGGGTGGCTCAGTCAGTTAAGTGTCTGAGTCTTGGTTTTGGCTCAGGTCATGATCTCAGGGTCCTGGAGTTGACTCCCCTGTGGGGTTCCACACTCAGCTTTGAGTCTACTGGAGAGTCTCTCTCCATCCTCTCTAAAATAAATAAGTAAATAAAAAATATTTTTTAATGGGGCACCTGGGTAGCTCAGTCAGTTAAGCATCTGAGTCTTGGGTTCAGCTCAGTTCATGATCCCAGGGTTCTGGAATCTGCGTGGGGCTCCCTGCTCAGCGGGAAGCCTACTTTTCCTTCTCCCTCTGCTGCTCCTACTGCTTGTGCTCACTCTTTCTCAAATAAAATCTTTAAAAAATAAAAATAGAGGGACGCCCAGGTGGCTCAGCGGTTGAGCATCAGCCTTTGGCTCAAGGCGTGATCCTGCAGTCCCGGGATCAAGTCCCACACTGGGCTCCCTGCATGGAGCCTGCTTCTCCCTCTGCCTGTCTCTGCCTCTCTGTGTCTCTCATGATTAATAAATAAAATCTTTAAAAAAATAAAATAGAGAAATTGCCTTGCTAAACTTCACTAAATTGAAATATACAATACTTTGCTGCCTTGAGTATATGTTTTAGTGTTTTCCATATTGGTTTTTTTTCATATTGTTTATAAATTGCTTGCTTATATTATCCAAGATCTATAACTATATGGGTTTTTCAAGCTCATTTTAAGTCAAATAGGACCTTCCAAAAGGCACCCATCACACCTAAAATTGCCAGATTAAACACATGTTGCCCAGTTAAATTCACCTTTCAGCTAGACAATGAACACTTTTTATTCTACCTTACAAACACTGCATTTATTGTTTATTTGATATTCTGGTATTTTTATTTGCTAAATCTGTCAACACTAAATTTGTATCAGTGGAATGGCCACCAGATTATTTCAGTTAATTATTCCTGCCTCCGGATTGAATAAAGCAGGATCTACCCTGGCTCAATCCTCTCCTCTTGCTCTTTTCCAGGCAAAAACAAAGACTGCCAGGCCTTCATCTGCAACTGCGACCGCACTGCTGCCATCTGCTTTTCAAAGGCTCCGTATAACAAGGAGCACAAGAACCTGGACACTAAGAAGTACTGCTAGAATTGAGTCTCCTCTCTGGAAAGCATCATTCCTACATGCCTCATGGCCTTCACCCTACCCTGTGTCCTCCAATAAAGCACTTTGTTGAAAGGCCTCATGTTTGGAGACTTTTATTCTGTTTGTGGAACATGACTAAGTCTCTTCTAGTTCTTTGTGAGCATCGGGCCTTCTAGGCTTGGAAGTGGAATTAGAGGCATACTTCTAGGAAGTGAACACCATAAGACCTGAATAATGATTAATAATCACTGATTATTTACTCTGTGCTAGATGGAAAAAATATATATATCCTCTGAGGTAAAAACTTACCTCTTGGGGCGCCTAGGCGGTTCAGCGGATTAAGCCTCTCTGCCTTTGGCTCAGGCCATGATCCCAGAGTCCTGGGATTGAGCCCTAACCCGGGCTCCCTGCTCAGCAGGGAGTCCGCTTCTTCCTCTCCCTCTATTCAGGCTCTCTCTCTCAAATAAATAAATAAAATCTTTTAAAAAAAGAAAAAACAATCCTACCTCTTTTTCATTATCCCAAGGGCTGGGGGAGAGAGAAAACAAACCCCTTTAACAATCTTTTAATGAGTATCTGCTGGGTGCTCATTAAGAGAAATGGATATGGGAAACACTAGTACAGTGGCTGAGATTTAAATGAATAAAAAATTTAATGAACTGAATTTTGGGTATTCTGAGGTAGCAGTCATATCCCAGCAGCCACAGTATCTTCGCAGTGCTTAGCACACCTCACACGCTCATTAAATAATTGTTCAACAAAGGTACATGTTGGCGCCAAGGCTCGCGGCACTCGAGGAAAAAAACCACGTGGCTCTATTTACCTTTTCAGATCACGTGATCCTGAGCTCAACCCAATCATTTCCCCGGCCCCGCCGGGACTTCAGAATAAGAAATGTGATTGGGTATCTCTTGGACACGTGGTCCGGGTTCCTTTAAAAAAAAAAAAAAAAAAAAACGGCGTAAAGCTCCGCCCCCAGGCTCTGACCCCGCCCCCTCTCGCGTCGGCCTGAGCTGGCGCAGGCGCAGTGGCTGGTACCTGTTGCTCCAGGCGGCGTCAGGGTGAGGTGGCGGCCAGGCTTCGGATGCGACTTCCTGGGTCTTCCGTGCGCTGTTCTCCAGGGTCAGAATTCGGCAGGAAGAAAAGAAGGGGCGGGCCAAGTGCGAAAAAAGGGCGAGCTCACGTGGGTATGACGTTGGGGCCCACCTTCCTGCGGTGCGCGTGCTAGTCTGGGCGTCTCGGCCCCCCCCACGGCCCTCCTCCCCTAGCCCCCTGCCAGTTTCTGGTTGATGCTCCTCCGGGGCCTCCATCCCGGAAAGGGACGAGGGGGCGGAGAAGCTGGTTTGCCGGGAGCCAGACTCGGGCGAGGAGGTAGGCAAGTGGACGCTGGGCGAGCCGAGGGCCTCTGCGCCCCAAGTCCCCAGTTTCAAGAGGGGAAGGTGGAGGGATTTGCAGTTCTGACCTCCATTTGGAATGCTCTCCCCTTTCCCGCCTGGTGCTTGCCTGTTCATTTCTCAGGACCTAGTGGGGGGGTGGGGGTCACCTCGGGAAGTGCCTGGAGCCTTGCCCTTCTTCCCTCCCAAAGTGCAATTGCGCAGTTCCCCTCCGGGCTTCTGGATCATTAAAGACAGTTAGGAACTGGATAGACTGGCTTTGATTTGTGGCCTGGTCACCCCAGGTGAACTTGGGCTGGTTACATAAAATCTCCAAGCTTCAGGATCCTCATCTGTCAAAAGAATTAATAGTGTGCAGATCATAGGGTTGTGGGAATTAGGTGAGTCAACGCCTTGTAAAATGCTTCCTGCAGTGCTTGTTTTATAGTAAATGTTCCATAAATACTACTTTCCCATGGGGAAGGAGAGAGAAGGATACTCTTACTTTAGAAAGGCTTTATTATATCAAGCAAGACTTAGCTTTTGTAATCTTTTTAAAAAGACAGGTATACAAAAAGGGAATGTGGCTCTGGAGGAGATCCACCCGAGTCTAGTTAAAGGAGTACTCAGTAGAAGAGAAAGGTTTGGCCTAGTGATAATGGCTGATATTTGCTTACTGTGTGCCAGCCACTGTGCTATGAGCTTCAGATGCATCACTACCTTTTTTTTTTTTTCCACTACCTTTTTTTTAATCTTCCCTAACAACCCAGTGAGGTAGCTACTAGTATCCTCATCTATAAAGAGATTGAAGATTAACCACTTGCCCAAATTCACGTAATTAGTAAGTAGCAAGACAGGGATGGAAACCCAGGTCTGTGTATATCTCAGTGCTTTCGATGCCATGTTATATCCCTTTTCTAGTAGAGGAAAAACAAAACAAAACACTCCTTTCTCATACGAGATTCTTTTTTTCTTCACAAAGTGTTTTTGTGACGTAAAAATTAAATTAAAAATCTGGATCTCAGAGCACCGTCAGTCTAACAAAGATAGAGTATCTGGAATGAACTATTCCAGATTAACTATTCCAATTAACTATTATACCCTGTTCCTAGGAACAGGGGTAACCAACTCACCCTGGTTTTAGCACTGAAAGTCTTGCAAGCCAGGAAACCCCCTCAGTACTGGGCAATCTGGGACAGCTGGTCACCCTTAGGAGTGTTGAATTTCCTGTTGGTCCTTAAATTGATCCTCTCAGGAAAAGTCTGGCATTCACTGAAAACTGACTTATGCATGGCCAAGCATTTTTTGTGGGGTTAACTCATTAAGTGAGCTAATAATGTGTTATAAAATAGTGTTTGGGATACAGTGTGCTCAAAGAATGCTATTATTTAAGGGAGAGGTGAGAGATACTCAATTTATGACAGCATAAAAGAAGGAATATGAGTTAGTGGAAAATTGGTTTTGAGTGTTATGTACTTGTTTGCCTTTGTAACTTCTACTTACTAAAACTGTGATAGCAGAGCCATAGCAGTTGAGGAAAATCATGCCCAAAGCTGGGTTTATGCAGTTAAAAGCCTGAAACCAGGGCAATGACAAACTGATAGCGGCCACTAGTCAGTTTGTTATTACAACAAAGGGCACTTATAGTGGGTTAGGAACTGCCATGCTGGTAGAAGGCAAAAAACGTAAGGTGAGACATGAGGAATATCAACTTCAGGAAATGCCAAGTTCCTTTTGGGACAAATCTTTGGGGAGGAATTCCACCTCAGGAAGAACTGAACAATATGAACATTCCTGAGGTCCTGAAGATTTGGTTGCATGAATTGTGCCAGCATTAGGTGATAGAGCCTGCCTTCCTCCCTAGCAACCTAACATGCTCTCCACTGTCTCCTGCATGTTAACCATTCCTGGTCTCCTTGGCCAGTTGTACTGCTGGCTTCTACTTCTGTTTCAGGCTGACTTCTTTGTAAGCATCCTCGGACAAATACGAAGCAGTTGTTTAAAAAGAAAAGACCTGGGAGAAAAGTATTGGATTCTAGTTCTGGCTCTGAAACAATGTTTTATGGTCTTTGGTAAGTCTGGATCTTAGTTTCCTCCAAAATAAAATGAGAGGGGATGCATTAAATTTGCTCTCATTCTGTCATTACATGCATGAATCTGTGACGTTTTCTGGTAGAGCATACGAATAAGGAAATGGCACATTCTCTGTGAGCCACTTTAAACCAAGAAGTTATATCTTTGTAGCCTTAGTACTTTATTACAATGTCTGTCAGTAACCACTGATGAAATTTGTGGTTGGGATCCCAAAGACCCAGATTTGAATACAGTTACTGGTACTGACTTTTGGTAACTGAGCAAATCGGATTCAAAGCACCTTCAGATCCTCCTCTGCAAAAAACCTAGAAGGAGATTTACAACAACCTTACATCTCTTCAGAATTAATGACTATGGGAAAACATCCAGTTGTGCAGATTAAAGAAGTCTGTTGGTTTCAAGATCCTGGATTATCCCAGTTCACTAAAACTCACTTCTTAGGCAGGTGCAGGATGAACATGTACTGCTTGCCCTAATCTTAGACAAAAACCATCTAGAATAGACTGTGATTCTTTCATCCGCTTTATTTTGTGATGAGATTGTCCTGAAACCTTTAGCCTGGTACGGTGATTCTTTCTGGCTAATACAATTATCAAACAGGTCTTGCTGCCTTACTTGGCAAGAAACCAGTTTAAGAGCCCACTTGTTTAAAAAAAAAAAAAAAAGAGCCCACTTGTTTCCTTTCTACAAACCAGGTTGGAGGCAAGTGTCTCATTCTGGCAGCTGAAATCCAGCAGAAATCCTTAGAGAACCATATCATAAAGCCTCATTCTCTTTTAGGTGATTAAAAAAAAGAAGGGATGCTTTGGTAGCTCAGCGGTTGAGAGCCTGCCTTCGGCCCAGGGTGTGATACTGGAGTCATGGGATCGAGTCCCACATCCAGCTACTGTGGGAAGCCTGCTTCTCCCTCTGCCTGTGTCTCCACCTCTCTCTGTGTGTCTCTCATGAATAAATAAAATCTCTAAAACAAAACAAAGAATATAAATGTACAGCCCACATACCTGGTGTGTTATCCCTTTATTCCTTAGTGAATAAAAAATTCATTCATACTATTGCTCATCTTTAAAAAATATATATTAGAACATTTCAGACATTTAACCATTTGTAATTATAAATTAAGTCATTTTCTTTTCCCCTCACCCCCTACATTAGTGAGATTCTGGGTTGGCACTCCAAAGACCGTCCTGGCTTACATATTTCCTGGGCCATTTCTTCTACCTGGTGAGATAAAAAGCAAGTGAAGGCAGTTTCTCTATCAAGAGCGGCTGCTGCTTTGAAAAAGTCTTTAGGGTCAAATCTCTGGCAACCTGACTCTGAAGCCTGCCCAGTTCAGAGAGGGGCTGGGAGAAAGAGTCAGTTTGCTGCCCTCTACATGCTGCACTCAGTGAGCTTCGATTGTTTAGAGGAAGAATGGAGGAGTCCTTAAGTATCTGAAAAGAAATGAAACAGGTTAATGCTGAGTAAGCCGAGAGTGGGTAATGATGGTGAACATCAACCAACCACTGAAAAAACCACAGCATTTAGGGCATGTAAGGATGGTCACCGTATCTTGTTAAATGAAAACAGGATGCGCTAAAATATGCATAGCTTGATTTGATTTTTGTAAAAACATTTAGTTATACCAGAATGTTAAGTTTTGGTTATCCTGGTGGTGAAATAACGGGTAATTTATATTCTTTTTACTTATCTGTATCATCTAAACATTCTACAATAAATATGTATTATTCTAGTAATAACCTAGTTTAAAAAGTGTGTATGTTGGGGCACCTAAGTGGCTCAGTTGGTTGAGCCTCCAACTATTGATCTTGGCTCAGGTCTTATCTCAAGGTTGTGGGCACGCTAGGCATGGAGCCTACTACTTTAAAAAAAGTGTGTGCAAAGGGGGCTTCTTTGGTGCTAGTCTAGTAGTTCTGTTCCTTCATCAAGATGCTATGTGTCTTCATCAAGCTGTCCACTTATAGTACATGCACTTCTCTGCATGTATAGTATACTTCAATTTAAAATTGTTCTTAAAGAGTGGTTGTACAGGAACTTTCATTCATTGGTGGGAATCCAAAATGATACAGCCACTTCGGAAGGCAGTTTAGCAGCTGCATACAAAACTAAACATAGTTTTATCGTGCAGTTCATCCATCTTGCTCTTTGGTACTTACCCAAATGAATTGAAAACTTAGGCCCACATAAGTTCTCTACTCCTCAAAAACGCACACACGTTTACAGCAACTTAATAATTGCCAAAGACTTGGAAACAACCAAGATGTCAGGAGGTGAATGATAAATACTGTGTGAGTGTACAGGGCAAAGGAGACTATGGGAACACTCTGTACTTTCTGCTCAGTTTTGGTGTGAACCTAAAACTCTTCTAAAAATTAAAGTCTCTTTTTAAAAACTGGTTGTACCTCTCTTGGAATATACTAAAAACTATTGAATTGTACATATTAAATAAGTAAACTGTATGGTTTGTGAACTCTATATCTCAATAAAGCTTTTTAAGTGGTTATATTCATAAAGTAGATAAAAAGTACCAACACATGCTACAATATGGATGAATCTTGAAATTACACCAAGAGGAGCAGCCAGGCACAAAAGGCCACATATTACATGAAATGTCTAGAATAGGCAGAAATAGATTAGTTGTTGGCAGGGATTTGGGGAGTGGTGATGGGGAATGGGGAGTGACTGCTAATGGGTACAAGGTTTCTTCTTGGGATGATGAAAATATTCTGGAATTAGTGGTGAGTAATGTACAACTTTCTGAGTGTACTATAAAGCAACTTAATTGTATACTTCAAAAGGGTGGAGTTATGTCTCAATAAAGCTGAGTGTGGAGCCTACTTAAAGATTCTTGCTCTCCTCCCTTTGTCCCTCTCTCCTCACTCCCCCATGAATGAGTGAATGAATGGCACGTGCCTAGATCTGGAACATTATAGCTTAATGGATACTTAAAAATTAATTTTAATTAAGGGGTGTCTCGGGGGCTCAGTTGATTAAGCGTCCAACTGTTAATTTTGACTTGGGTTGTGGGATCAAGCCGGAGCGGAGCTCCACACTCAGTGGGGAGTCTGCTTTTTTCTCTCTCTCTCTCTCTCTCTCTCTCTCTCTCCCCCCCCTCCTTCCTCTCCATCTCCCTCTCCCCCTTTTGCCCTGCCCCCACTCACACACATGCGTGTGCACACTCTCAAATACGTAAATAAAATTTTTTTTAAAGATTTTATTTATTCATGAGAGAGGGAGAGAGAGGCAGAGACACAGGCAGAGGGAGAAGCAGGCTCCACGCAGAGAGCCTGACGTGGGATTCGATCCTGGGTCTTCAGGATCAGGCCCTGGGCTGAAGGCGGCACTAAACCACTGAGCCACCTGGGCTGCCCGTAAATAAATGTTTTAAAAAATAATAGTCGGGATCCCTGGGTGGCGCAGCGGTTTAGCGCCTGCCTTTGGCCCAGGGCGCGATCCTGGAGACCCGGGATCGAATCCCACATCGGTCTCCCTGCGTGGAGTCTGCTTCTCCCTCTACCTGTGTCTCTGCCTCTCTCTCAGTCTATGTCTCTCATGAATAAATAAATAAAATATTTTTTAAAAATAAAAATATTTTAAAAATAAGTAGGGGTACCTGGGTGGCTCAGTTAAGTGGCTGCCTTCCACTCAGGTTGTTGGGGTCCTGGGATCAAGCCCTGTGTCAGGTTCCAGGCTCAGTGGGGGAAGTCTGCTTCTCCCTCTGCCCTTCCCTCCCACTCATGCTCTCTCTCAAATAAATAAAATAAATGAATAAAAATAATAAAAGAATAACAAACTTAGTTTTAATTAAGAATGGCCATATAGGGACACCTGCGTGGCTCAATGGTTGAGGGTCTGCCTTGGGCTCAGGCCACGATCCCAGGGTCTGGGGATCAAGTCCCACCTTGGGCTCCTTGCAGAGAGCCAGCTTCTCCCTCTGCCTGAGTCTCTGCCTCTCTGTTTCTGTGTGTCTCATGAATTAACAAAATCTTTAAGAAAAAAAAAAAAAAAAGAATGGCCATACATTAAAAAGCCTAGAACTTTCTATATTTTGTCAGTGCTCTCAGTTGAATGCAAACTGGAAACTGGTATCTAAGAAAGCCTTTAACTTACCTTTAATAGGATTAAAGTGAAAGTCCCAGTTTCTGGCTCAGGAACATCAGGTTGTGGTCAGTGTGGGTCTATCAAAGGCAGCAGTTCTCCACAAGGAGAATCCAATTTCAGACATGCCAAGTCATCCGACCGTGTGGGCCCAATGTTAAGTATTGCAATTGGGAGCTGCTTCTCTCGGGCAGTGAGGATAAACCTGTAACCGGAGTATACCTTACAAGAAGAAGACACAGGTCTCAATGCAGGAAGAGAGAAACCAAATAGGGAGCCACCCCGGGGCTCTCTATCCCACAAAAGGGGCAGTTACCACCCTGACAAAGGCTGATACCTGCAAGGATGATCCCACTACCAAGAGGGAGTCGGCTTCTTTTACACGCCTGCGCACAAAGTCAACCCTGTCAGGGTTCACTGTGTCCCCGAAGAAAACGACATCTGGTTTCAGGGGGCCTCCACATCGAGCACAGGACGGGACCTGAAAGCTCTGTACCTGCTCCTCTGTGAGAAATACGTCACCATCAGGAGCCAGGCCATGGGCCTCAGCACTCCAGGTGGGGTTCAGGGCTTCAAAACGCTCTTGCAACACCCCCCGAGGAATCTGTGCACCACAGTTCAAGCAAAGGACCCTGAAACCAAAGAAGAGGCTGACTGAATGGTTGGTCTGGGGAGGCCTGAAGCTGCCAAAGACGTCTCATCCCTGACGTTTTTAACTCTTCCAACATTCCTTGCCATTCCTTTTTTTTTTTTTTTTTTTTTTAAGATTTTATTCATTCATGAGAGACACAGAGAGAGAGAGAGAGGGAGGGAGGTAGAGACACAGGCAGAGGGAGCAGCAGGCTCCATGCAGGAAGCCCAACGCGGGACTCGATCCCAGGTCTCCAGGATTAGGCCCTGGGCTGAAAGCGGCACTAAACCACTGAGCCACCCGGGCTGCCCGTCCTTGCCATTCCTAACAGCCATTCTTTCCCCCACGTTAGGAATCCCTTCTCATGACCTTTTTGCCACTTCTCACCTTCCTTCTACTGCCAACCTTGTAGAACAAGTAGTGTACATCTGTTTTCCTTACTTACACTACTCCCTGCTTATCCTCGTGGCTCATTTTTATCCTTAATAAAACTGCAAATGACTTCCTTAGTGGCCAAACCAGTGCTTTTCCCCTCTCCTTCCCTCTGGGGTGACTGTTGCTGTCCATCACCATCATCTCTTTAAAACTCTCTTCCCCCTTGGTGTCCTTACCCAGTGTCTTCTGTGTCTCTTCTTACCTCTCTAATCATGAGCTCCAAGAGGGCAAGAACTCTGAGTCCTTTCACCACTGTGCTATGCCCACCACCTCGAACAGTGCCCACAGACAGTGGACGTTCACTAAATAGCTGCTAAAAGAAAGAACAAAAGGTGGTTTAGTTGATTTCTTCTCTACTCCTCAATCTTCCAGCCAGTTTTCTATCTTCTCCACCCTGGGGATGCTCCATTTTCACTGCTGCAATGCCTCTGTGCTAATGGTCCCCTCCCCTGTACAGAACTCCACTGCTTGGGGCAGCCTGGGTGGCTCAGCGGTTTAGCGCTGCCTTCAGCCCAGGACATGATTCTGGGGACCCAGGATCAAGTCCCACATCGGGCTCCCTGCATGGAGCCTGCTTCTCCCTCTGCCTGTCTCTGCCTCTCTCTCTCTCTTGAATAAATAAAATCTTTAAAAAACAAACAAACAAAAAACTCCACTGCTACTCTACCTCCCAAACTCCCAAGTCATCTTGACTGTTCCGTCCAGCTTCCCTCTGTCTTCACCTGCCCCTCCCCAACTTCTCCATCACCATCCTTTCTCCAGTTACTTGGGTTGGAACCCTTGGGAAAACTTGTTACTCATTTGCTCCTTTTTATCTAGTCAGTATCAGATTATGTTGATTATTTTACTTATTAGGCCCCCCTAACAAGGGGTGCCTGGCTGGCTCAGTTGGTGGAACATGTGACTCTTGGCCTCAGGGTTGTGAATTTGAGCCCCATGTTAGGTAGAGAGATTACTTAAGAAAATCTTTTTTAAAAAATGGAGGGTACCTGGGTGGTACAGTCAGTTTAGCATCTGACTCTTGGTTTGGGCTCAGGTTATGATCTCAGGGTCATGAGATCAAGACCCTCATTGGGCTCCCCACTCAGTAGGAAGTTTGCTCAAGATTCCCTCTCCCTCTGTCCCTCCCACCTGTGTGTGTGTGTGTGTGTGTGTGTGCTCTCCTCCTCTAAAATAAAATAAAATAAAATAAAATATAAAATAAAATAAAATAAAAATAAAATAAAATAAAATAAAATAAAATAAAATAAATAAATAAATAAATAATAAATATATTTTAAGAGGGCAGCCCGGTGGCTCAGTGGTTTAGCACCGCCTTCAGCCCAGGGTGTGATCCTGGAGACCGGGATCAAGTCCCGTGTTGGGCTCCCTGCATGGAGCCTGCTTTGCCCTCTGCCTGTGTCTCTGCTCTCTCTCTCTCTCTCTCTCTCTCTCTCTCTCATGAATAAATAAATAAATAGATAATCTTTAAAAAAATAAAATATTTTAAGAGACACAGAAAGGGGATAAATTAGACATCATAAAATCTTTGTATCTGAGTGATGGTATATGGGAGTTCATTATACTACTTTCCTTTTAGGAACATTTGAAATTTTCATCATGAAAAGAAAGTTTTAATGGACCCACGGCCATCATTAACTCTTGAATTCCCCTGGTACCACCTAGATCTAGGTCCTTCAGGCTGACCTCCCTGAGCCACTCTCTCTAATCCTGTGTGGCTTTCCTCAAATGCTATTTTTATCATGTTGCTTTCTTGCTCAGAAACCACTAATATTCCCCTTTGGTCTCTAAAGACAGACCCAAATTGCACTGCACTATTTTCAGACGTACCCATGATCTGGGTCTAGACTTCCCAGACAATCTGATTTCATAGTAGTCCCCACAGATGCCAGGCCAGACTCCTCTGGGCTCTACAAGTCCTCTTCATTTTTTTTTTAAAGATTTTATTTATTTATTCATGAGAGACACACAGAGAGGCAGAGACACAGGCAGAGGGAGAAGCAGGCTCCATGCAGGGAGCCTGACATGGGACTTGATCCCAGGTCTCCAGGATCACGCCCTGGGATGAAGGCAGGCACTAAACCACTGAGCCACCCGGGCTGCCAGTCCTCTTCATTTAGAAAGCCCTCTCCCTTCTTTTGCTAGTCAGACCTGAGCTAGATTTAAGCCCCACCTTTCCTATAAAAGCTTGACCAATTACTCCAAGCTTTACAAAACTGTTTCTCTGAACTTGCAAAACATGTCTGTGAAAGACCTCATAATTTGGGCAACCCCGGTGGCTCAGCGGTTTAGCGCCACCTACAGCCTAGGGCATGATCCTGGAGACCCAGGATCGAGTTCCGCGTTGGGCTCCCTGCATGGAGCCTGCTTCTCCCTCTGTGTCTTTCATGAGTAAATAAATAAAATCTTAAAAAAAATTAAAGACCTCGTAATTTAACAATTGTGTGAAGTTGTTTATTGTTAAACATTATTATTTTTAGATCCCTCCCCCACTTCAAAGAGATCACAAAGTTCTCACATATAAAATTCTCACATTGGGGCAGCCTGGGTGGCACAGTGGTTTGACACTGCCTTCGGCCTGGGGCGTGATCCTGGAGACCCGGGATCGAGTCCCGCATCGGGCTCCCTGCATGGAACCTGCTTCTCCCTCTGCCTATGTCTTGGCCTCTCCCTCTCTGTCTCTCATTAGTCATAAAAAAAAAATTAAAAAATAAAATAATAAATAAAATAAAATAAAATAAAAATAAAATAAAATTCTCACATCGTATATATTGGTTTGACCCCTCCACACCACCAGGTAGCACACCACATGTTGTAGGCACCCAAGATATATTCTAGATTGGCAGGAGGATCTCTGGGGCTTAAAAATAAGAAAATGGTTTCCAATTAGCTTCAAGTTATTGCCAGGGCTACATGTGTTCATTCCATCAATATTTACTGGTTTCTGACTATATGCCAGACTGTACTGTGTTCTGTGTGTCTAGGACCAGATATCCACTAGCTTATAGCCTATGCTGTTGACACTTTGCACATAGTCCCCTCAAAATACCCTTCAGGCTAGCACACAGTTCTCTTATAAGCAACTTCCTGCATCTCTCTTAGTGTGTTCACTGGCCAAGGAAGCCTTTTCCAGAGCTGCAGAGTCAGTGTTAGGGAATTAATTCCCCTAGACTTATCCTCAACCAATGAGGGATGAGACATGATGGACAAATACCCCAGTTTCCTCAACCTTCAGTGAGACAATTCTGAAGCATGCTCTAAACGGTCAGAGGGCTCCTCAAAGGATCGAGCTTTAGCTTACCAAAGCAGTAACCCATTCATTAATTTACCCTTTTCTTGGCTTTTCTTCCCTACCCTGTTTCATTTCCCCACTGAGTTTGTTCCTCAGTGAGTTTGCTGAGATCGACTCCACAATAAACAACTTGCAGGGGCACCTGGGTGGCTCTGTCAGTTAAGCATCTGCCCTCAGCTCAGGTCATGATCTCCCGGAGTCCTGGGATCGAGCCCCACATCAGGCTCTCTGCTCAGCGGGGAGCCTGCTTCTCCCTCTCCTCCCCCCCTTCTTGGGCTCTCTTTTGCTCTCTCGAGCAGGTGCAAATAAATAAATGAAATATCTTTTTAAAGAAATAAATAAAACAACTTGCTCCAAATCCTTTTCTCAAGGCCTAATGAAAACAACAGCGATCAAGATAGCCACGGTCCCTGCTCTAATGGAGCCCACATTTCTGCATTCAAACCATTTAGACCTTCCAGCACCTGTGCATGCAGCCATGGAGTTCCGTCAGGCGCTGACTCCCGGCTTTTGTGTGCAAGGCATCCACATTTTGGGTCACCAGCCAGTACAGCTTTCCGAGCCTCTCCCAGTTGCTCAAAGCCCAATGTGCAGGGTTAGGCTGCAGGGAGGAGAACCGAGGCCAGCCTACAAAGTTTCTCGCCCAGTACCGCTGGCGGATTGGAGCACTCCGTAGAAAATCCCCATGCTGGATGGGTTTCTGCTTAGTGCGAGCATAAAGTCCCACTTTTTCTGACCTGTAGTCTGGGATCCCCGACTCAGTGGAGATTCCTGCCCCTGTCATCACTAGGAGTCTCTTGGAAAGAGTGACGAAGCGCTGTAACTCTTTGACCTTCTCAGGGTCCAGAGGAGGACTTGATGGCACAAAGAACCCAATGGATCCACGTGAGTACTGCCTGCTGATGTTCACCATCAAGAGGCCTTTTGGTGACTTTAAAGTCAAACCCAAATTCATCCTCCTTCTACAGAGAAAGAAACCTGATGTGAGAAACTCGGTTTTAAAAACTAAAGCTACAACAACAAAAAAAGAACAGAGGCAACCATCAGCTGATAAATGGATAAACAAAATGGGGCTTATCTATACAATGAAATGTTATTTATGTATAAGCATGAAGTTCTGATCTATGCTACAATGTAGATAAACATTAAAAACATTACGTTAAGGTGACACCTGGGTGCAAGAAGCCCAATGTGGGACTCGATCCCGGGACTCCAGGATCACACCCTGAGCCAAAGGCAGACGCCCAACCTCTGAGCCACCCAGGCGTCCCTCCTTCACCTATTTGTTTCAAAGATTTTATTTGTTTATTTGAGAAAGCAAGAGAGAGCATTAGTGGGGGGTAGGGAGTTAAGGGGAGAGGAAGACTCCCTGCTGAGCAGGGACCCTGACACAGGGATCAACTCCAGGACCCTGGGATCATGACCTGAGCTGAAGGCAGACGTTTAACCAACTGAGGCACCCAGGCACCCCTCTCCTGCACCTATTTCACCAATCTTTTCATCCCTTCTCCCCTCTGGCAACCACTAGTTTTTTCCCTATATTTAAGAGTCTGTTTGTCTCTCTCTCTTTTTTTTTTTAATTAGCCGACATGTAGTACATCCTTAGTTTCAAATGTAGTGGTCAACGTCACTTGTTCATTTGTTCGTTCATTTTTTTTTGTTCGTTTCGTTTCTTAAATTCCATACATAAGTGAAATCATGTGGTATTTGTCTTTCTTGGACTTATTTCACTTAGCATTATATCCTCTAGATCTATCCATGTTGATTGCAAATAGCAAGATTTCCTTCTTTTTTTGGATGAATAATATTTCTGTGCCTGTGTTGACATTTTCTTTATCCATTCATCTACGAATGTATTGCTTCCATCCTTGGATTGCTTCTATATCTTGGCTATTGTAAATAATGCTGCAATAAACATAGAGGAGCATGTATCTTTTCAAATTAATGTTTTTGTTTTCTTTTTTTTTTGTTTTTTTTTTTAATGTTTTTGTTTTCTTTGGGTAAATACTCAGTAGTGGAATTACTGGATCATATAATAATTCTTAATTTTTTTAGGAACCTCCATACTGTTTTCCACATTAGCTGCACCAGCTTGCATCTCCACAAACAGTGCATGAGAGTTCCTTTTTCTCCACATCCTCGCCCACACTAGTTATTTCCTGTGTCTTTGATTTTAGCCATTCTGGCAGGTATAAGGTGATATTTATAGCTGAAAAGTAAAGGAGCACCTAGGCATTAACCATCAATAGCTTCCTCCACTTTCAACATCACAAAAAAGAGAGTCTGGTCCTCCCTATTGGCAGTTAATCTTTTTTGCTCCTATATATATAAAAAGTGTATATATAAAGGGGGGGCGCCCCTCTTTTGAATATTTTAAAGACTTAAAAGATATCAGAAAAGTGAAGAGAAAGGGGCGCCTGCGTGGCTCAGTTGGTTGGGCACTGCTTTTGACTCAGGTCGTGATCTCAGGTTCCTGGGATTGTGCCCTGAGTTGGGCACCCTGCTCAGCAGGGAATCTGCATCTCCCTTTCCTTCTGAACTTCCCCCCTAGTCAGGTGCACATGCACACGCTCTCTCAAATGAATAAATAAAAAAACCTTTTTTTTTTTAAGTGAGGGGAAAAAAAAGAACAAAACAGTTTGAAGAGAAGCTAAAATGTGGAATGTTTCACATTAAAGGTAGATAATCAGGTAGCGCTGGTAGCTCAGCGGTTTAGGGCCTGCCTTCAGCCCGGGGCATGATCCTGGAGACCCCTGATTGAGTCCCGTGTCAGACTCCCAGCATGGAGCCTGCTTCTCCCCCTGCCTGTGTCTCTGACTCTCTCTCAAGAATACATAAATAAAATCTAAATAAATAAATAAATAAATAAATAAATAAATAAATAAATAAATAAATAATAAATAAATAAGGTAGATAATCCAGACCTTACTATTTCTGGTGGCAGACTGTATGCTTTTATGAACAACCTACTGATAATGAATTAGTGACTTCGGTATCTTGAAGGATGGTACCCAAATAAACATCTTTCACTGAGTGCCTGGGTGGCTCAGTTATAAGTGTCTGCTTTGGCTCAGGTCATGATTCCAGGGTCCTGAGAGCAGGGAGTCTGCTTCTCCCTCTCCTTCTGCCCCTCCCCCTGCTCATGCACTCACACTCTGTCAAATAAATATCTTTAAAAGAAAGAGTATCTTTCACTGGAAATGTACACCTTCCACCCCCCCCACAGACACACACATCTAGAGTATATTTATAATTTTACTTTGTAATTCAAGTCAATCTTTTGTATAATTTGGGAGACTGTGAGCTAGCTCAGGATCTGAGAACTTAAGAATGTAGTGAACACTGGGGCTCCAGGCTTATAGGAAAACTAACTCTTGCCAGGCTTGTGCTGGTAAACTACCTTCTCCCACCACTAAGGTACAAGAAAATAATGCCATCAAGGCCAATTTCAGGCTACCAATGGTTTAGCAACTGGCTAGCAAGCCCCTGAATATTTAACAACTGGCCCTCACCAGTAAAAACTAATTCCAACACACCTTCCTGAGTCTAACTCAAAACAACAAGGCTATCTTTTTATTATCTTTTTAATAATTTTTTTGGTCAAGAATTTCTAATACCTTTCACAAAATAAAATCTCCACACTGGACTATTTCATAACAGCCCAAGTCAAACTTGTCCTTTTGACCTCTTAAGAACCTACAATCAGAATCGAGTCCCACGTCCAGCTCCCTGCATGGAGCCTGCTTCTGTCTCTGCCTCTCTGTGTGTCTCTCATGAATAAATAAATCTTTTTTAAAAACAAACAAAAAGGGGATCCCTGGGTGGCGCAGCGGTTTAGCGCCTGCCTTTGGCCCAGGGCGCGATCCTGGAGACCCGGGATCGAATCCCACGTCGGGCTCCCGATGCATGGAGCCTGCTTCTCCCTCTGCCTGTGTCTCTGCCTCTCTCTCTCTCTCACTGTGTGCCTATCATAAATAAATAAAAATTAAAAAAAAAAATAAAAAAATAAAAATAAAAAAAAAATAAAAACAAACAAAAAGGGCAGCCCCGGTGGTGCAGCGGTTTGGCGCCGCCTGCAGCCCAGGGCGTGATCCTGGACACCCAGGATCGAGTCCCACGTCAGGCTCTCTGTATGATGCCTGCTTCTTCCTCTGCCTGTATCTCTGCCTCTCCCTCTCTCTGTCTCTATGAATAAATAAAAGCTTAAAAAAATTAAAAAACGAACAAACAAAAAAATCCCTACAACCAGAGCTCTCCTATGCCATGGCCATCAGATGGAAATGAACTTAAAATGGTTGCTGAATCTGCCAAGGATTTCTGCATCCAAGAAGAGCTGTACATTTTTTATTTTAAAAAATGGCGCAAGGGACTCTAAAAATAAAAATGTCTATTTTTAAAAGGGAGTGGAGGTCCCTGAGTGGCACTGTCAGTTAAGTGGCAGATTCATGGTTTCAGCTCAGGGCTGATCTCCAGATGGTGAGACTGAACCCCAAGTCAGGCTCTGCACAGTGTGAAGCCTGCTTAAGATTCTCTCTCCCAGGGCAGCCCGGGTGGCTCAGCGGTTTAGCGCTGCCTTTAGCCCAGGGCATGATCCTGAAGACCCGGGATCCAGTCCCACATCGGGCTCCCTCCATGGAGCCTGCTTCTCCCTCTGCCTGTGTCTCTGCCTCTCTCTCAGTCTCTGTGTCTCTCATGAATAAATAAAATCTTTAAAGAAAAAAAAAAAAGATTCTCTCTCTCAGTGCTTGGGTATAGTTAGTTAAGCGTCCATCTTCTGCTCAGGTCTTGATCCCAGGGTCCCAGGATGGAGCCAAACATCAGGCTCCCTGCTCAGTGGGGAGCCTGCTTCTCCCTTTCCCTCTGCCTGCTGCTCCCCCTGCTTGTGTTCTCTGTCAAATAAATAAAATCTTTTTAAAAATTCTCTCTCTCCCTCTCCTTTTCCCTGCCCCTCCCCTGAGCACAAACTCTCTCTAAATAAATAAATAAATAAATGAATGAATGAATGAATGAATAAATAAATAAATAAATAAATAAATAAATAAATAAATAAAAAGGGAGTGTAAAATAAAAGTTGGTGAAGCAGGATTCTAGCATAACGTGAGGCCTCTTCTGCTTTTCCCAGTAAAATCTCGCTGGTCAGAAATTATTTCTTATAAATCTCAAAAGATTAATGGCCTACTACCAATATCTTTTAAATCCTTTAATAACTCATTGTTATTCCATCTATGACTACATCTAAAGACGTCTCCATCTGAGGACTACCTTTATAAATGCAGTTACTCCCATCCCTTGGGAGACCATTTGTTCCATAAACCTACTTCCCATTTTATAAATCAGAAGTATTTCTTGAGAAACTAAAGAGCAGGGACTCCTGGGTGGCTCAGCGGTTGAGCGTCTGCTTTCGGCTCAGGATGTGGTCCTGGAGTCCCGGGATGGAGTCCCCACATGGGGCTCCTGCATGGAGCCTGCTTTTCCTCCCTCTGCCTATGGCTTTGCCTCTCTGTGTGTCTCTCATCAATAAATAAATATAATCTTTAAAAAACAAAAGGAGGGCGGCTCTGGTGGCTCAGCGGTTTAGTGCCGCCTTCAGCTCAGGGCGTGATCCTGGAGACCCGGGATCGAGTCCTATGTCGGGCTCCCTGCGTGGAGCCTGCTTCTCCCTCTGCCTGTGTCTCTGCCTCTCTTTCTCTGTGTTTCTCATGAATAAATAAATTATTTAAAAATAAATAAATAAAAATAGAAAACAAAAACTAAAGAGCACATGTGAATTCTACCGTGCCAGGTGCTGACGAAGTCGTTACTCATTTTCCAGATGTATGATTTTTATGATTTTTTTATTTATTAACGTAACGAAGCACATGCATATCTCTTATTCTATTTCCCCCATATTCTTTCAGTTTACCCTTAATTGCAAACACTGCTACTTGGGACACAGCACAATAGTGACACCTGGAACGACATTCTACCCCAGCTTTGTAGCTGTAAAAACAAGGCTCTGACATATTCCTTAACATAATGCAGAAATTCTCTAGTGATACGCACCCCCTAAGTAAACATTATCATATATGCTTGGCTTTCCAGACCTAGATCCAGGACG